GGGGTCACTGACATATTGGCTTACTCAGGAGTTTTCCAGGACAGATTGGAACCAGATCCCACACAACAAGTCTTTCTAGGTTTTCCAAGAAAAAACCCCTTTGTCCTGTTGGTCCTGAATCATCGACACGTCCACCAGGAGTCACTGTGTCTCTGGATCCACTGGGAGGGAGATCCACTGGGAGGGAGATCCACTGGGAGATCCACTGGGAGATCCACTGGGAGATCCACTGGGAGATCCACTGGGATCTGTTTCATCTCCTTCTCTGTCCTGACTTTCATGTTAAATCGGACTTATTTTCATGTATTTTTCACCCCGCAGCACACGACGTTCATCTGATGTTTTGTTCATTTTTAAGGAGTTTGCAGACAATCTTCAGGGTAAAGGCATCCACGGAGCCTTGATGTCTCTGGAGCCGTCCTTCGACACCGACGTCATGGCCAAAGCCTTGGGGATTCCCAGCAACAAACACATGCTGCATCGACACCTGTATGAAGAGATGAGGACCCTGGCTGTACCTCTGAGGTAGACCAAGAACTGTACCGTACTGTACCGTACCGTGCAGTACGGTACAGTACAGTTAGGTACTGTACTGTACCGTACCGTGCAGTACTGTACAGTACAGTACTGCACGGTACTTGGGGATAAGAAAATCACAGTCACAAATTAAATCCTAAATATCTGTCTCTTATGAGTTGTTTCATATAATACTGTGGGGGGGGCAGAAATAACATTTTACTCTTTTTTGAACAGCAACATGGAGGAGAACAAAGAGCTGATTGGCTCCTTCTCCCCGACGACTGTGAATCGATTTGCTGAAGAGAGAGCGTCGCTGAGAAAAACAGGAAAGGTAGAAAAAATAAACTCCTTCATGTGATTAAAACGAACAAGAACAAAAAGTGAGTGAGTAGAGAGAGCAGCTGACAGGAAGTAGATGGGGGCTGACATGGAGGAGAGGTCAGGGGTCAGATCCAGACACACACACTGTCTGCAGAATAATCTGGTCCTTGGATATGACAGAAGGTCACGTGACCAAATCCAACAATCAGGTTTGGAAATGACAGGAAACAGCATTTTATGAGGGGCAGCCCTGGACCCAGGGGTTAAAGGTTAATTGGCAGGACTGTGTGTTGACCCCCCCACCACCCCCCGCCCAGGTACACTGATCCGTATCTGCTCAGGGTAATCACGGACTTTTGTCACTGATGGCGGTTGTTTTTTTTTCCAGAGTCCACTGAGGCTCCGTGCGAACAGCCACTCCGTGGAGCGCAGCGTGGCCTTCAACGGCAGCTGCAGCTCTTCACCCAAAGAGGGCAGAGTTCAGGTTCTGTCCCGGGCCAAAGGAAGTCCAGTTCATACCTACAAGGGCGTGGAAATCACCAACGTCTGAAACAGACGCTGGAAAACTCCAAACTGTTTCACTGGTTTTAACGTAGAGAAAAAATACAAAGAAAACTACGTTCTTATTTTTATTAAAGATGTGTTTTAAAACATCGAGATGAAATATTCTCAGAACAGACGTGTCGTTCACAGACGGACGCTGTTAGAAAGAAAGTTTCAGACGATGATAAAGAAAATAAATGTAAAGTTTACGTCAAGACAGAAAATGTTTCTGCAGATTATCAACACGATTCTTTAATGATGTACAGAAAAGAAACAAAACGTATTTATTTTACTTTACTGTACTGTTGTGGTCTCCCCTCCTCTCCCCTCCTCTCTCCCCTCCTCTCTCCCCCTTTTCCAGTTACGACAGCTTCGGCTTCTGATATCAGAGAAGAAGTCTTTTCAAACCCTTTCATCTCGGAGCCTCTGTCCTGATTGGCTGTTAATCTTCAGAGGACTTGAATTGTGCCCAGTCAGCAGCTCTGCTTCAGATCTCTCACTTTACCTCCACATGACCCTCCATCGCCCCCCGCAGGCTTGTCCTAAGAATGACTAATAATAACTAACTAACTAACCAGAGTAAAAAAAAAAAAAGAAATTTCACACCAATACTAAGAGATACTTTTGATAAAACTGTACTTTTTTTTACTTAAAGAGAGGTCGTAGTGTTAATGTACTTTTTATCGTTACTTTAGATTTAAATGTTTTTATTTTGACTTGGATGCTAATAAAATAAAAGAATCTCAGTGTGAAGAGTGTAACAAACAAACTGTTGATGTTTACTGTCAGAAAAGAATTCAAATAAATCTTTCAACAATATTTTACTCATGATTGACTGGTGTCCCACTTCAAACCCTGGGGCGGCTCCACATGGTATGAAACTGGTTTTTCCTCCTCATCATGAGCGTCTTCACCAGGACCAGGAGGTTGGATCAAACCAGTTCAAACCTGTTGACACGACATATTATGGTCTTTATTTGACAAACTTAAACAGATTAAAAACTGATACCGACAACAGCAGTGAACCAGCAGTTGAGCCACAGACAAAGCACTGCTGAGAAGGTCATTCAAAAAACATGACACAACAAACTAAGTTAAACCAGTAACTAGTTACAGGTTTAGTTTGGGTTGTTTTGGGACATGTATCTTAAACATTTGCTTAAAGTGCAATTTTCTTGAACCTATGTTTATCTAGGATAAAACTGAGAGAATAGTATTTTTAATTTATTATTAATTTTAGAACAGAACTTTGATTAATAGCAGAAAATCAAATCAATAGGTTGAAGTTTTTTATCTGTTCCGCAGGATTCATTTAGAAATCATCAACATTAAAACCGTCACACGGCCCAGGTGCAGTACCTCCATACTTCCTCTAGGTGTTGACCTCTACTGTTCATGGGTGATTGGAACGGGTCGGCGCTAGGACCCAGCAGACACCAGGCCAGACGCGGACTTTACAACCAGCAGAGTGAAGGTGTCGTCACGGCCGGAGTTTGGACAAAGTTCCCGTCAACTTGACTGATCTGTGGCAGTAAACACAGGAATTATTGGTTTAGTTTGTTTTTTTTAAAAGAAGAAAAATATACGTTTTTAGTCAGATATTTCTTCTGTGTTCACTTCCTCTCTTCGCTGCGTGAGGGCGCGCGTGAGTTCTTCCTGAAAACACCTGCGCCGCTCAGGTAAAGTCACCGATGAAGAAGGGCGAAGTTTCTGGAAAATGTCTGTAGGAAAAGGTGAGGCCTGAATCTGTGAAAACGTTCACCAAGCTAGAACAGTGAGTGTGGTTCCTGTGACTTTAGTCTGTAGTGGTGCAGGGTCGGTGGTCGGTGGTGGTGAGGGGTCGGTGGTGTTGAGGTGACGGACGGGCTGTGGCTCCGTCTGAACCAGGTTTCCTTCAACGTCACCGCGGGTCGTGGCTCATTATCATAGCAGTGATGCCACTCACACTCCACGCCTGTAATTACGGACAGGTCTGTGAGCAGTGAATGTACTGATGGTTAGTGGACACACCCAGGAGTTCAGACCTGCAGCACAACAGCCGAACCGCAGCTATCACAGACCGGAAATGACGCAACAGACCGCGTCGTTCATCTCACCGTCGGCACATGTGGTTCAGAAAAACAGAATCAACCTGATGAACAACAATAGTTAATATTGGTTATTATTGGTCAGTCCATCAGAGCCGGGAACCAGATGTTTATTACTATGACGTAGCTACAGTGACGTCTGTGTTTGTGATTGACAGGTTTATAACACACTGTCTTCAAACCTGTCCCGTCACCAACCAGTCCATCTGAAGACGTCCATCTGAAGACGTCCACCTGAAGACGTCCACCTGAAGACGTCCACCTGAAGGCGTCCACCTGGAAATAAGGTAAAAAACAAACAACAACAAATGACTGACTGTGAATCAACACCACTTTATATAAATACGATAAAAACAAACTGGTGTTTAGACTAAAACATTTGTTGGCCGCTGGTCCAGAGGAGTGACACCAGGAGGCTCCACCTGGTATCACTTCCTGTCTTTCACTGAACGCCTTAAACACAGGGTGGAAGTCAAAAAGTGCTCAGACACAGTTACTCCAGTGTGTGTATGTGTGTGTGTGTATATATATATACACACACACACATATATGGATATATATGTGTGTATATATATATATACATACATATATGTATATATATATGTATGTATATATACATACACATATATATGTGTATGTATATATACATACACATATATATGTGTATGTATATATACATACATATACACACACATACCTGTTGTTTGTCTTTGGCAGCAGATCTTCAATAATTACATATAATTATAAAACATGTTTCCATTCAGGTTTGCTTTCAACATTTGCTGATTGTTCTGGATTCAAATTATTACATTTTTAAGGGTTAAAAAATCCTGATCAAAGAAAAACAAACATTATTATAAACGTGCCTCATTATTTGGCAGCGATACAACGATACAACCGTGGACCTGGTGGAGTAACATTGGTCAATATAGTTGTGAATAATGTGTTGACAAGCGACACCTGCTGGTTGAACGTCTCTGTTACACAGGTGTTGGTAACGTAATAATGCTTTTGAAGATGAAGATTTTGATGTGAATCATCCAAACTTTCTCACTTCTATCTCTTCATTGTTGCTGTGTGACTCATTCTTAGCCATGCTAACCATGCTAACCATGCTAACCTCTCTTGGCTGCCTGTCTTTGTCATGTTCAGACCTGTGTGGACGCGGCTCCTGTTTTTTTTCCCAAACCTGTTTTCTTCCACTCCCGCTCCAAATCTACCTGTTCGTCAGAAGAGTCTCAGATTTTCTCTTTTCTTTTCAAACTAAGAGTGACTAAATGAGACGGATCTTTATCTGAGTGAACTTCCTGTCAGATGAGGTTTCCAGTCTGGCAGCCGTCCAACCGTCATTCTCTGCTTCACCACCGGTGTCGCCACAGTTCAGCTCTGACGCCGTGTGTTTTACAGGGATGTGTTCGAGTCGAGGAATATGTCGAGGCAACGGCAACCAATCCAACAGGTCCTCCAGCGGAGAGAACGTGAGTTCGGGCGCCCACTACGCTCTGTGTGCCCTGGGCGTCGGACTGATCGCCCTGGGTGTCGTGATGATTGTGTGGACTGTGATACCCATGGATGGAGAGGCCACCGCTGGCTCCAAGCCTCAGCCAGGAAACTCCACCACAGGATCAGAGGACGGAGGTGGTGACGAAGAGGAGTCCGACCACACCAAGTCTTCATCCGTGGCCATGGTGCTGATTGGAGTGGGGGCGGCCATGTTGCTCCTGTCCATCTGCCTCGGGGTGAGGAGCAAAAGGATGGCACGGAACAGACGAAGCCAGGCCGTGGCCACCAGTGTCCCGTTCACGGACCAGGTGTCGAGGGATCCTGAGGAGTGAGCCGCGACTTTATTTATTTTTATATTCCTCTTTCAGAGGCTGGTTGAAAATATAAACCTAAATATTTAAACTGTGAGATGAAACGTAGGCGACCTAAAAATATGAGACCTTTGTTTTTATCTGTGACGAATCAAAATGATGGAATTAACAATGTGGAAAAATGTAAAAAAAAAAAGAGAACCAGAAGAAAAACCTGAAAGGTCGGTGGTCGTGGGTCTCTGGTCCGTTGACCAAACATCTTATCGTCACTGACTCTGAGTTCTTCCTTCTGTTTCCAGAACTTCAGATTCAAATGCCTACAACGTGCCCAGCTACGAGGAGGTTGTTGGCAGCGACACCTACCCCGTACGTGACAGTAACCTGCGCCACAGCACCTCCCAGCTGCCGTCCTACGAGGACATCATCGCTGCTGTGGAAAACGAGGGAAGCGAACCCATGAGCAACGCCACCGAGGACACCCCTCTGAACCAAACTGCCCCGGCGCCGGCGCAGCCTCCAGACCAGACCCAGAGCGACCGTCCAGGTCTTGCACCAAAGGCCAGTCTTCCCACTCGCAGCAGCAGCCGGGCCAGCCGTTTACTGCGCCCCCTGCGGGTCAGGAGGATCAAGTCTGACAAACTGCACCTGAAGGACTTCCGTCTCCAAATCCGCAGCCCGACACAGAACCCCGTCAACATAGAACCCATCACACCGCCACCACAGTATGACACTAAAATGCCAGAATTACAGTAAGAACACAGGTAAAAATCTGTTTTATTTCTCATTAACTGAAGTAATTCATTGACCACAGTCCAATAACTGTTGAACTGTGTCTGTGTCTGTGATGTCTGTGATGTCTGTGATGTCTGTGATGTCTGTGATGTCTGTGACTAATGGGTGAAAAGGGAAATGTGTTTCTTCAGAGGTTTTTTATGGGGAAAAAAAAGAATCGTGTGCCGTATGTCCATATGTCTCCTGTTCATTTTAAATGAAGAAAACACAGATTTTTACTGTGTTAAAAGTACATTTTTGAAAAAGACACAGAAGTTATAATATTTTTAAACCCAAAAACAACACCGTGGTGCCTTTTCTATGACAGATTTTATAAAAATAAAGCTTTGATATTTTATATTTTGAGGTACGTTTTAAAGATGACAATTCACTTTACATTTTATTCCACATGTTATGTTTTATATCACAACAGTCAACGTTGAATACACCTAGATTAAAATTAAACCACTCATTTTTTATAAAATTAATCACTTAAATGCACAAAACGCTCATGGCTGTATTTCTGTTTTTTATTTTGTTTGTGTCATTTTCTTATTTGTATGATGTCAGGTTTTATAGCAGTATATTTATTTTACAGGAGATCAATATTTGTACATCCAGTAAATAAAATTTAACTGTTACACATTATGTTTTGTTTTTTTGACAGCGTGACTTTCTTCACCTCACTGATAACATTTGTTTATAAAGAAAACTAAAACTGAAACATTTCCCTAAGATCTGAGAAGGACAGAAATATCAAACACTTTTGGGGTAAAATGTCTTTGTTCTAAGGACTGTTTCACTGAGTCCCTAAAGAAACATAGGGGAAAGAAATAGTATAAAAAATAATAGTTTTGCACCAGAAACATTTGTTTAATTTCTCCTTGTGTCCAAAGTATCACATCCTTAAAACAAGAACTTAATTTTATCTCTATATTTTATATTTTAATAGTTGAAGAGTTTACAAATTAAACTTCATCCTGCTTCATAATTATTTCCCTTCCACAAACATCATGTTCCACAAATGCTTTGGTGAATGCGCGCCCTCTGCTGGCAGAAATGTTATATTTCGATAGTTCAGCTGTGTTATTTAGTGACGTTAAATTATCACAAGGCAAAAATAAATGCCATGCGGTAATAAATGTTTGATTAAAAACCTCTCGGTGTTGTGTCTCCATGACTTGATGAAATTAATTCAGTCCTAATTCCGTGCTTTTCCTTCTCTTTCTAATGCATTCTCGTTACACTGGTTCTCTGGTTATTGACCCCTCGTGGTTAAATGCGGTACAGCCCTTAAGATAAATATTTTCAGCTTTAATTCTTTTTCACTTGACGGGTGGCAATTATATGAACTTAAAAAATAAGAACACTGGATTACAGATGTAGGAGCTGAGAGGTAACAACTGACTTTCTGTGACGATTCACCGACGCTACGTGTTTGAGGTGAATTACAAAACGGTTGCTTTAAATTCTTAAATGTTCATCAAAGCCAGAAAAGTGCTACATGCTACGGAGACAAACCACATACTAAACAAAAACGTTTTTATGTTAATTCACAGACTATAATATCCACGTTGTTAATAGAAGTGGCGAGAAAATGGTACCGTTTTACTTTCCATAACACAAATACAAACAGTAAAACTGTGCTAAAGTATAGCTTGGTTTAGTAGCAGAGTTGCTAACTTCTGTTCCTGTTTTCATGTGTTGTTTGTGTTGCGTGTTAGGACACTTCTGGTTAAAGGTAGTAGTATTGGTGGAGAAAGCGTCCAGTAGAGGGCAGTAGTGAAAAGAAAATCCCAGTAAAAGTAGAGTTGGCAGGATTAGCTTAGCATAGTTGAGCAATGAAACTGGCGATTCTACGTATCAAATCACTAAAAAAAGACAATTTAAGTGACATGTTATCATCAATACAACAACACTGTGGCTGTGACATTTTACATTTAATGTTTATGTCTCAAATGGACCGTATTTTAAAGCTCATTATGGCCGTTGTACAGCTCCACTGCACAGGCGAACTCTGTGCTACAGTCACCCGATGTTACTATCTTTAAACCTGCGGTCAGTTCCCTGACGTCGAGGTAAAAAAAAAAAAAGTTTCACACTTGATTCTAATTCTAATATTTAAATATTTTAATATTCTAATCTGTCAGATCCAGAGTCAGTAACTTCCCTGACATTTTACAGTAACAGTGAGGACGGAAAGTGCTGATGAACTCCACTGAGGAGCAACGTTTAACGTAGGAAAGTTTATTTTTATATTTCCAGCATGTATTTTCCTAATCTCCACCCTCGCCTCGGTACAGATTGATTTTTTTTCTTTTCTTCCTTTTTTTTTTCTTCTTTTCTTTTTTTTACATGTGCAGCTGCCATGAAGCAGAGGGAGGAACAGCTGGCTGAGGGAAGAGCCAGCCCGGGGAGTCAGTCACATTCCTGGCTGGGATTCAATGACTGAACCAGCGTCGAGGTAACAGAGAGAGAGAGAGAGGGAGAGGAGGGGAGGGAGAGAGAGAGAGAGAGAGAGAGAGACTCACACATTGAGTGAGAGGGGAGACAGACTGAGAGAAACCTACGCCAGACGGAGCAGACGAGCCATATTTCAGGCGCACATTAGCAGTGCGTACAACCGCAGGAGTGCGTAAAAAAACCCGTAACCCGTGACTGCGCCCTGGATCGTAGACTTTTCCCTCCAGCGACGGTCGACTTTAATTCTCTGCTGCTACAGAAAGTGTCTCCATGATCCCGGCAGCCCTCGCTTTTCTGAATGGACGCGCTGGGAAGCTTCTCCGGTGACATGGAAATGCGTGTTATTGAGCGTGTGGCCGGATGCTGAGGGCACCAGACCAGAGCCAAGTCAGATCCATCTTTCATTTTGAGTTTTGAACTCTTTCTCCTCGGCGCCTACAACATGGAGGCTGCGAGCTTCCAGCCCCATCCCGGACTTCAACAAACTCTCAAGCAGTTTCACCTGAGTTCCATGCGCTCTCTCGGCGGACCGGCGGCGTTCTCGGCTCGGTGGCACCAGGACTCGCTGTTCGGTAAAGATGGCAAATCCGCAGAGATGATGATCACGCTGCCCACACAGACGCCCCCGGTGATGTCCGGTCCACTTTTCATCCCGTCCGATCGCTCCACGGAGAGGTGCGAGACGGTGCTGGAGCGGGAGCCCATCTCCTGCTTCGCGGTCGGCGGTGAGAAGCGGCTGTGCCTGCCGCAGATCCTCAACAGCGTCCTGAGGGACTTCTCCCTCCAGCAGATCAACTCGGTGTGCGACGACCTGCACATTTACTGTTCCAGGTGCACGGCGGACCAGCTGGAGATCCTCAAGGTGGTCGGGATCCTGCCGTTCTCCGCTCCGTCCTGCGGGCTCATCACCCAGACGGACGCTGAGCGCCTTTGCAACGCGCTCATCCACGGCGGCACGTACCCTCCTCACTGCAACAAGGAGTTCGGTTCCCTGGAGTTGGAGCGGAGCGAGAGCTGCTTCAAAGTTTACCACGAATGTTTCGGCCGCTGTAAAGGACTGTTGGTCCCGGAGCTGTACACCGGCCCCGGTGCCGCCTGCGTCCAGTGCATGGACTGCAGACTCATGTTCCCACCTCACAAGTTTGTGGTCCACAGTCACAAGAGACTCGAGAACCGGACGGTCCACTGGGGGTTCGACTCGGCCAACTGGCGGTCCTACGTGCTCCTGGACCCGGACTACAGCGGGGAGGAGAAGAGTCACCTGGAGCAGCTGCTCAAAGAGTTGAAGGGGAAATTCGACCTGACCAGAAAGACGTCCATCAAACCGTGCAGGGTGAGTCTGTAGACCTCCACGGTCTCTCTTTATTATTGGTCGGATTAGTTTTATGACTTTATTGTGATTTCTGAGGGTTCCAAACATGTGGCTGTTGTGTTGTGGACACTCCAGCAGCCTCAGGTCGTTAGCATCGATTATCATTCATTTCCAGGAGCCTTCCCACTCATTAGGCTGCTCTCTCTCTCTCTCTCTCTCTCTCTCTCTCTCGGTCTTGGTCCAGTGTCTCACCTCAGACCTGGGCCGTTCTGTCTGTTCTGTCTGTTCCTTCTCCTGACATTAATCCCACATAAAGGAATAGTAAAATAAATCGTTTTGTTCAAACCTGCTCCAGTCAACGACACGTGGCTCTGTGACAGAGCTGACCACAGCACAGAGCCCCCCTGGGCTGTGGAACTGTACTCCTCCAAAATAGTGTGAAGAGAATAGGTGTACTTTGATATGGAAGTATGACCTTAGATCATGTTAGTACTGTGTGTACCGAGCCGCCCTGAACGCAGCACCAACTTCCTGCTGGAAGCTCAGACATGGACGCTGTTTTTGGTTTAGTTTGAAGTCGGTTTCACTTTTAAACTGAATTCATTTCGTATGCGTTTGGTGACAATAGCCCCAACCCCCCCCCCCCCCCGTCATTTCCCCCCCCCCCCAGGGTTAACCAAGGGCATCTGCATTATGATGAATGGACTCTCAGTGATATATTTTATTAGGGAAGGGAGGGGGGAGGGGGGGGAGACATTTATGAAGGCAAGGTGGGAGAGGGGGATAAGCATTTAATGGGGTATGGAAATGTGTGTGTGTGTGGGGGGGGGGGGTGGGGGGGTCCAAACAGGATAAGATATGTGCTGCCTTCCAGGGTCAGTGATGTTTAGGGTTTGTTTCCACGTCACACACCAGCTGCTGTGTGGGACTGAGCTAATGACTGTGTGTGTGTGTGTGTGTGTATGTGTGTGTGTGTGTGTGTGAGATATACATCATAGATGGTGGAGGGGGCAGTGTGTGTTGGCTGTGGTTCACTGTCAGTCGTGTCCCAGTTAGCAGACAGGCCTGGTCCTGGGGGAGCAGCTCAGCCCACTCCCCCATCCATCAGAACTGACGGGGGCTCACAGACCTCAGAACTGACGGGGGCTCACAGACCTCAGAACTGACGGGGGCTCACAGACCTCAGAACTGACGGGGGCTCACAGACCAGGCCTGGCTCAGTTAACCCACCAAACACAAACCTCTGTGTTATCAGTCTCAGCAGCAGCAGCAGCAGCAACAGCAGCAGCAGCAGTAACAGTCTCAGTCTCAGCAGCAGCCTCAGTCTCAGTCTCAGTCTCCCTCTGATGTCACAGGGTTTTATTAATAAGTCAGAGCCTTGAAGGTTACTCCTCCTCCTCCTGTATCGTCCGTCTGGACTCCCGGCCCCTCCACTGTACCACTGTACCACCGTACCACTGTACCTGGTGACTGCTGGAGCGGCAGAACGACCAGCTGAAGAACCCACCGTGACACAGATGTACTGCTGTCATCGTGGCTCAGCGGTGACTGTACCAAACCCTCTCCAAGTCTTTTTTTGGAGAAAAATCCTGCTGCCTCATCACAAAAAAAAAAAAAAACAAACCCAGAAGGTGGATGAGAGGAGAGCGAGGCTGCTGCTACTGCTGCTGCTGCTGCTGCTGCTGCTGAACTGCAGCCTTTGGTGGTTGAGGTCGTTTCCTGGTGCAGAGTCTTTCATTCAGAGACGCAGGGTTTGTGAGTCAGGCCTTGACATGTGTTGTCAAAGGGCCGTGACCCCTGACCTTACTCCAAAGACACTGACCCTGCCTTCCCCCATTCTTTTGGCACCATCCAATCAGGTGGCCGGCTGCCCACATCACTGAGCAGATGGCAGTCTGATAAAGGACACGGGGACGTACAGTGGACGGACGCTGGGCTGCAGCGTTTGTGGTGGTGCACGAGCGGGAAGTAAATGTTACAGACAAGTGAATTTACAATTCCAATGACGTGGTGTTGAACCGTGCGTGTAATAATTCAAATGCTAACTCTGTGATTAGCATGAAGGAGGATTGGAGCTGCGAACACCGTCTTCTTTAAAAGTCAAATTCTTCTGAGCACCGACTTGGAAAAAAAAGAAGAATTCAAAGAAATGAAGTGAATTTGAGCGTGTGGAGAGCAGAGGTCGGAGACTCCAGAGGAAAATACAGGCCCTGGTAAAAGAGGGGATATTAAAGCTGCTCAGCTGAGGACAAACCATGACATCTCTGTCTCTCACGCTCCATGAAACGTTTCCTTACACCTGGAAAAACCAACGCAGACGCAGCTTTAGTAAAAGGAGGAAAAACACCAATGTTACCGTTGGATTTCTGTGCTTAAAGATGCACATGATACAGGAGTGTGTGTGTGTGTGTGTGTGTGTGTGTGTGTGTGTGTGTGTGTAATGAGCGCTCAGATGTGGAGCCAGATTAAATGAGCTCACTGCCGGCTCATTTCCATTCCCATCTGTCTGTTGACCTCTGGGCTGGTGCGTCCACTCCGTCCACGATGGCTGTGTCTGCTGAGCTCTGACCCCANGAGCTGACCCCATGTTAAAAGGTGTCAGCTGGGGTTCTGTCCTGGGTGATGTGTGTTAAAGACCTGCCGCCTCCTTTGTTTGAGCGTCTCCTTTCAGACTCTGTGAAGTGTGTGTGTGTGTGTGTGTGTGTGTGTGTGTGTCAGCAGTCTGATGGAGACTCAGCTACATCACAGAGAACATTCTGGTAAATCTTCTACTCATTTATAGTTTGATCAAAATCCTAAAATTTACATTTTTTACACATTTTTGTTTTTAATGAAGAAATTTGACTTTTTTTTCTACATCAATTTCTGACCAATGTCACATTTAAAATTGTTCAAATATAGATTTATTTCATAGCAATTGTTAATTAATTAATAAATATATTAATAATCCATAGTTGTAGTTTAGGTAAATGATTTAAACAGATTAAAACATGTTGAAGGAGTGACATCGTTTTATCTTCTTTAATGTCATGAAAAATACAGATCAACGTGTGTCTCACGTTAGTAAGTAAAACAAATCTAAAAGGAACCAGACCAGCCCCCAGCCCCCCAGGTGGACAGACCCCCCCCCCAGGCTGACCAGTACAGTCCCCCAGGTGGACAGACCAGCCCCCCAGGCTGACCAGTACAGTCCCCCAGGTGGACAGACCAGCCCCCCAGGCTGACCAGTACAGTCCCCCAGGTGGACAGACCCCCCCCCAGGCTGACCAGTACAGCCCCCCAGGTGGACAGACCAGCCCCCCAGGCTGACCAGTACAGCCCCCCAGGTGGACAGACCAGCCCCCCAGGCTGACCAGTACAGTCCCCCAGGTGGACAGACCAGCCCCCCAGGCTGACCAGTACAGTCCCCCAGGTGGACAGACCAGCCCCCCAGGTGGACAGACCCCCCCCCCAGGCTGACCAGTACAGCCCCCCAGGTGGACAGACCAGCCCCCCAGGTGGACAGACCCCCCCCCAGGCTGACCAGTACAGCCCCCCAGGTGGACAGACCAGCCCCCCAGGCTGACCAGTACAGTCCCCCAGGTGGACAGACCAGCCCCCCAGGCTGACCAGTACAGCCCCCCAGGTGGACAGACCCCCCCCCAGGCTGACCAGTACAGTCCCCCAGGTGGACAGACCAGCCCCCCAGGTGGACAGACCCCCCCCCCAGGCTGACCAGTACAGCCCCCCAGGTGGACAGACCAGCCCCCCAGGCTGACCAGTACAGCCCCCCAGGTGGACAGACCCCCCCCCAGGCTGACCAGTACAGTCCCCCAGGTGGACAGACCAGCCCCCCAGGCTGACCAGTACAGTCCCCCAGGTGGACAGACCAGCCCCCCAGGCTGACCAGTACAGCCCCCCAGGTGGACAGACCCCCCCCCCAGGCTGACCAGTACAGTCCCCCAGGTGGACAGACCAGCCCCCCAGGTGGACAGACCAGCCCCCCAGGCTGACCAGTACAGCCCCCCAGGTGGACAGACCAGCCCCCCAGGCTGACCAGTACAGTCCCCCAGGTGGACAGACCCCCCCCCAGGCTGACCAGTACAGTCCCCCAGGTGGACAGACCCCCCCCCCAGGCTGACCAGTACAGTCCCCCAGGTGGACAGACCAGCCCCCCAGGTGGACAGACCAGCCCCCCAGGCTGACCAGTACAGTCCCCCAGGTGGACAGACCCCCCCCCAGGCTGACCAGTACAGCCCCCCAGGTGGACAGACCAGCCCCCCAGGCTGACCAGTACAGCCCCCCAGGTGGACAGACCAGCCCCCCAGGTGGACAGACCCCCCCCCCAGGCTGACCAGTACAGTCCCCCAGGTGGACAGACCAGCCCCCCAGGCTGACCAGTACAGTCCCCCAGGTGGACAGACCCCCCCCCCAGGCTGACCAGTACAGTCCCCCAGGTGGACAGACCAGCCCCCCAGGCTGACCAGTACAGTCCCCCAGGTGGACAGACCAGCCCCCCAGGCTGACCAGTACAGTCCCCCAGGTGGACAGACCCCCCCCCCAGGCTGACCAGTACAGTCCCCCAGGTGGACAGACCCCCCCCCAGGCTGACCAGTACAGCCCCCCAGGTGGACAGACCCCCCCCCAGGCTGACCAGTACAGTCCCCCAGGTGGACAGACCCCCCCCCCAGGCTGACCAGTACAGTCCCCCAGGTGGACAGACCCCCCCCCCAGGCTGACCAGTACAGCCCCCCAGGTGGACAGACCCCCCCCCAGGCTGACCAGTACAGCCCCCCAGGTGGACAGACCAGCCCCCCAGGCTGACCAGTACAGTCCCAGTGTCAGCTCTGACCCAGTTTTTTGCACCACTGTCTCTGAGCGTTGACCAGTTTTTCCCTCCATAAAATTCAGTGACGCTGCACAGTTTCTAAGTGTGAACAAGTTGTGGGTGAAGGGGGGGTGAAGGGGGGGGGGGGGGGGGGGTGAGTGTTGATCAGCAGTGATGAGCCGAGGGAGGAGATGATTCCAGGGTTCATTAGTGGCAGAGCAGATGCCTGTATTGGGTTAGTGTTGTTCCACCACCATCATCATCATCTTCATCATCATCTTCATCTTCATCATCATCATCATCAGTTCCTCCTCGATCACCTCCTGATTTCCAGCTCTGTGATTAAGAGTCAGGTCCATCTGGTGCAGAGACAGGAAATCCTGGAGTCTGCATCTGCTGCTGGCTG